AACAAAAAAAAAAACAAAAAAAAAACAAAAATAAAATCAATATTGCACAACCTATCTTGCTTTATGAGACTACATATAGTATTATGTAAATTGAAATAAATTATTCATTTTATTAAATAAACGTCACGTCCATTTTTATTAAATAACTGTATCAGTGATTCTATAAAAAATTATTCTTAATATATCCTAAAAAAGCACTTGAAAGTTTTGGAAAAGTAATCTTTTACATTTAATGAATTTCCAATAATTTATGTATTAAAATTTCAGTCTATAGCAGTGAAAATGTAAAAATTATTGCTAGATTATCATTATTCTTATATTGCCAACAGAGGTAAAAATCACACCACTTAGTACATGTTTTGTTCTTTTAGAAACATTTCATCAATTTCAAGTCCTTGGCTCACGCGGATCAAATGGTCAAAGTAGCGTTAGTTTCCTCGATCCAGACACGGGGATTTTAATTTACGCTTTGACGAATCTTAATGCGATTGCATGTTGGCAAACGGGTACCAAATATAGCATACAACAACAGGGCCGAGTTTACATGAATAATGTTACAATGGTCTTTCCTAATGATATTAAGGTATGCTTTCGCTTAGAGCATCAAATTATCAAAATATTCTCTAACAGCGTTACTTTTTGTTTAATGAAAACAAGCCTTTAAACATAAACATAAATATAGGATGGATATAAACTTGATGTAATTCTTAAATATTCATTGATTAAGTTCTTTTAGAAACGAGAATCACTTGATTATGTTTAATCTGTAATTTTTAATTTACACAGATAAATCTATTTATAATATCAAAAATACAAGTCCGTACGTAACGTTAAATTCGTTCATCCAGGCATTATTTGCTAGTATTAGGTTGTGATTTAAATGATAAAGTAAATTTTTTATCTTACATTGGAATCCATTGTTTATAATTACAATTTCTTTATGATAAACATGGAAAGTTATTTTTTATTAATTTAAAAAAAAAAAAAATATGTATATTTTTACATTATTTATTTATTTATTTATTTTTTTTAATTTTTAAACTCTTATTTTGCCATTTATTTAGAGAAAAACTTTAAGGAATGAAAAAATCATACCTTTAATTATTCTAAGTAATTACAATTTGTGATAAATATCAATTTAATTAACGAAACTTTTCATATTGTCGTAAATTAATATTTATCTAAAATCCTTTTATTGCATATATTTGTTATACATTAAAATAATTGAAATTTTCTCTTTCTAACTAATATCAATGATATTAATAATATTAAAAGGAAAGAAAAGAAAAAAAAAATAAAAAAAATAAAAATAAATAAAATAAATAAATAAATAAAGTAATGCTAGGAGAGATTGTAATTTTGATCTCTATAAATTATTATTAAAAATGATTGATAATAAAGAATTACTTTATTGTACTGCTAGTATCAAGTAGTTAACAATGATATGAAATTTCAATTTAAACGTATTTTATAAAATTCTTATGTATAACCTACTTTAATTGAATTTCTCAGATTGACCGCAACGGCACAATATGGGTATTGTCGGACAGGCTACCGACCTTCATGTACCAGCAACTTGATCCAAGCGATTATAACTTTCGTATCCTCGCAGGGAACATCCGAGAAGCCGTCCAGGGTACGATATGCTCGGTCGGCATCTCAAATCGGAAAACGCCTCCGTCAACTAACTCGAAGGACTTTGGCAATTCGAATAGACCGAACCAGCTACCATCGCAAAACATTGCCAACTTACGAGCTCAACACAGTCCAGCCACCATTCTCGGCCTTACCATTGTTCTCCGCTTCCTTTCATTACAAGCGTAGATTTAATCAGTATTTCTCATATTTCTTTCTTATTATTAGCCTCCTTCCTGTGCTGAACTTTTTCGCCCGTTATGTAGAACGTATTTTTTCGTAAAGGTATTTGTCATGCTCTTGATTAAATAATAACAATGTTCAATTTGAATTTGAATGTGGTTGCATTGAGACTCGGTATAATGACAAATGCTAATTACATAGTGATTTGTGTGTTCTCATAGTTTGTAAGTTCCTAATTTTAAGCTGCAGTGAGTATTTTAATGTTTAAGAACCAATCGTACATTCTTTATTATACGTAATTGTACTTATATTAGTTGGAAATTTTTTAGTTGAAATTTATTAAAATTTTATCTTTAAAATAAAAATAAATATTTATATTATTTAGATGTAATATAATTGTTCCACAAACATACGTACGCATGTTGGCACGCACGCACGCGCGCACGCACACACTATACTGCATACTTAGTTTATATATATATATATAAGAAGGCTGTTAAATGATTAAACATTTCATTAAACATAATTTATCAAATGTTCATATGTTGGATGATAAATTATTTTATTGGCATTTATATTATTGAATCGCTAGTAGAAAATTATATTTAAACGAAAAAATAAATATAAAGACGAATTATATGACTGTTTCTAGACTTTTATACAAATCTCAATAAATATATGGAATATAATTATTACATGTTTAATATGGTAATAATGTGTTTATATATGGTAAATAATGATATTAGATATAATCTAACAATAAACTGTTTTTATGAATATAATATTTGAAAATAATATGTACTTATTAATATTGATATATTTTATTATCAACAAGAATATGAATAAGAGTTCCTGGCATGTAATTTAAAAACTACACCTTTATTTGATTAGCATAATAAAATAATATAATATTACATAATATTTATTATATAATTGAATATAAAAATATAGTAAAATAAAGCATCTGTTACTGTTATTTCAAAGTATTTAGTTATTTTGTTGAAAATACTAAAAAGTCATGTGTATCACGAGAGTGTGCGCTTGTGTGAATACTGATTTTAATTACGTCTGATGCTCCTATTAAATAAACTAACCCAATATATTACATTTGAATGTTAAAATTTTTAAAAAATTTTTTTAGTATCAATTAATATAAATACTTATAATTTTAACAAAAATTTTAATTCATAAAATAATATTTTTTTTTATTTTTAATAATAATGGGATAATGTGTATTTGTATATGATATTGAAAATGATAATTTGTATATATATATATACATATATATATATATATGTTTGAGAATAAGAGACTCCGTTTAATAAGGCAATAAAATATCTGACAAGTAATGTCATGAAAATTGTATTTAAGACTTCAAAACTTTCCTGCTCATAATTATTTGTACTAGTGTCATAAAACATCTGGAAAACTCTAGCGGAACGTGCTCATACTCCCAGTGCAGTAGAACCTAATGGGTTTACTGCCGGGAGAACCCCAAAGTAGATTCGAAACGAATATCAGATATGCGTGAAGCATTGAGTACAAATATTTACTGCAACCGAAAACCCGTACGTACTACACATGCAATGACCATACGTGCGCACTCGGCCTTTAAGACAATGCTTGCATTGTTCTTGGCTATGCCACATCTGGTCGATCGTATTGGAAAATTGACCACGCCCAAGCGGACCCTTCTTCTAGCCAAGTCCCAGAGAGGGATGAGGCAACCAAAGAGAGGTGACCAATGGAAAAGGCTCGCCACCTTCCGACACTTTCCCAATTAGCAAATTCGGAACTGAGCCCGGAAGGAAGTGGAAATGAAGGCGTGCATAATCTATTGTGCGACCCAAGATCAACCACTGATTGGTTAATTAATAAAGGAAGAAGGGATCCCAAGTGGAGCGGGATCAGTGAATCATTTTAAGAAGGGACTACGTAATGTACCCTCACTTACTCTTTCCAAATACTTCTTACAGTGAAGGATAAGTCACGACCAACTCTCACGGAGGAGGACCGGAGAGATGAGTCGTTTAGCTAGCTGAGTTTTAATAATAAGTTCTTTCCACTATTGTGAATTAGTGTACAGTTGAATTGATCTCATCAAGACTGGATTGCGTGGGACCTGACCACTTGTGGTCTCACTTGGAGACAAGGAAGAACTGAAGGGTTGCAACATTGCAAGGGAACGTAATAACAAGCCATCGAAGAGAGACTGGAAAATCACGATACACTGCAAGTAAGTCCTTACAGCTAGTACTCATTCTTGATTTCTCGGCTTATGTAGAAGACGGACGGATAAAGTCCAACTACGGAAGCTTCCCGGACATACTCTTGAACAAGACCAGCTATAAACGCCACATTGGCTTCTCAATCCCTCCAACTGCAAGTTGTTCCAGCCACAGATGGCGCACAGCTTCGCATAACCTCCATCTCGGCTCTCTTACGACCGATATTTAAAGGCAACTACACACGTATTAAGATAAACACAATAGCATTCCAGTGTTCGATCAGAAAACTACAATCACGATAACCTCTTAGTGATAATATTCAATAGATTATAACCTGCTTCATTCATAGTAAATATATTTCAACACCACAAGATTATCAAGAAATATAAAGTTCGTCTGTAATTCACCCTTTTGTAAATCAATTCAAATAAATAGAAATAATAAGGACATGTGTTAATTATTAATCAGTGCATTCACCCTTTACTTGCCCGGCAACCCCACATAACATCTAGTGGGTTTTATTGTTCTACGTTAATTATTGCACGTTTGGCTGACTAGTCAAATTGTGGGATTATTTTCCGAACAATATATATATATAGAGAGAGAGAGAGAGAGAGAGAGAGAGAGAAGTTCCTGAATAAATGTATATGTAAACTAGAATTAAGGCTTTAATACAATCAATTAGAAGTTCAATTTTTTGTTTATAATATTTAATCATTTATGAAGACATTTTATAAAATTTACTATGCGTTTATAATAAATTATGGTTTTCTTTTATATATTTTTAAATTTATTTTCTTATAATTATTTATTAATCTATAGCGAAAGTGGGCGGCTGATAAAATTAACAATTTTAAAAGTATTTTTTGAAGTTAATAATTTGAATTAAAATATTAAATATATAATTTACATCTATATTTTTACTGCATATTTAATTATATTTTCGAGAAAATTTAAATAATAAAATTGATTATTTTTAATAAATAATGTATAATAAAGAATGCATTTAATATACAATAAATGCAGTTATACTTGAAGAATTGCGTTAGTTGATAAAGTTGTAGTTATCGTTCTTTCTTTTTCTTTTTTTGTCATTTTATTGCAGTGGAAACAAATAAACGAATCTGCATTATGTAGTTTTCGTTTGGTTGTTTTATAATATAGTTATTGTCATTATTAGAATTATTATATTATTAGAGTACTTAAATTATGAGTTTATTTGATTTTATCAGGATGATTGCTAGTGATATGTTTATGTAGATAATGATTTTTCTTTTCTTTTTTTTTTTTTTTTTTTAACAAGACGCGATAATTTTTAGCATTTATATTTAGAAAAACCATTTCTAGCTTATTGACGGTCGCGTTTGACTATCGGGATTCGTAATAAAATTTTGGTGGATTTATTTTTAATTTGTGTCGACATTTTTCACACAATTCATTTAATTCGCCGTATTATTTATTTATTTATTTATTTTTTAAATTATAATTAGAATTGACAAATTTATTAAGTTGTATACAAAAAATATTCATTCTAATAATAATTCATCTAATAATACACAAGTCGATTTACAATATTCAAATAAAACAAATAAAGGTAGAGTATATTTTTATTGAGTTATAATTGTTATTAATAATTTTAAAAGAATAAGTAATATTCGAATTTATGATATATTACAAACATTTCAAAATATTTCATTAGCATTTTAAAATTCTTAAAATTAGAATGCTTAAAATCAAGAGTACAGTCCCGGGCCTCAACTATCTGCCAGCTGAAGAAAGTTTTTTAAAAACTCCATATAATTTTCTGGAGAGTAGAAGAAAGAATGACGGCGCCGAAGGTTTGTGGAGAATTGGAAATAATCTTTATGATTTGGAAGGGTTTATGAAAAACCATCCAGGTGGTTCCGAATGGATATCAATGACAAAAGGTACTGACATCACCGAAGCATTCCAGGTACTTTTTATTCCTGTAAAGTATAAGTAAATAATATTTTTCTAATATATTGTAAATTATTCTATTTATCGCGATATATGCATTAATTATTTTTAATTTACAATATTACATTAATGAGTATCTTATAAATATTATAATAATTTTATCAATGAAATTATCAGCCAAGTAATAACTGCTTATAATGATATACAAAATATCAATTCATTATATCTCATCAATAATTATTCGTTCTATAGTTAAATAATTTCATACTTTTGAGCAACTGATTAGATTATTTCAAATTTAAGGAGACTATTTTTGTAACGTTCGAATCTTCAATAGCAACTATAACATTTAATAATAAAATATATTTTATATTAACTCTAAATGATCTTGAAGAATTCGTATATTTATATAGAATTTATTATGAAAGATATAAATTACAGTGCGAATAAATAAACAAGACTTGAAATATAAACGCAAGTACATTTAAGATAAAATAATTTTTATAGATAAATTCGATAAATTAATTATTATGTAATTTATATCAGCTATAAAGTAAATATATCAACATTAATTACTTATAGTTCGCATCATAATATAATGACGTCAATTTATGTAATATGTTAATTTATATATTGATGTTGATTTTTGTAATATAGAAAATTAAATTTAATTCCGACAAATTAATTCGTAATTCCTTGTAAATTAACCATACATGTTACATTAACAAACTATACATTTATTCTGTACTTAGATTCTACTTTTTATAATATTACATATTTTGACATATGTTTGACTAAACTCACATCCCATCAAACAGTAACATATAAATATATTTAATATTTAGAAACATCACTGTTAACATATTTACATTCTTATTTTAAGTTGTTGGAAAGATATTTTATTAATAAATGTTGAAATAAAGAACTAATGAAAAGAAGCAAATTATCAGAAATTAAATTAAGAATAAAACGAAAATTATATTCAAATATTTACAATAGATTATTTAAGGTTCATCATATTTCAAATGCTGCGGAGAATCTGCTTCCCAAGTTTTACGTACGTGAAGCCAAAATACCAAGAACTATATCATATACCTTCGACTCTAATGGATTTTATGGAACATTTAAGAAACGCGCTCAGAAAGTCTTAAAAAATATTGATTATCATAATCCGAATGTACGATCAAAACGAATAGCTGATTCGCTATTTATAGTGACAATTCTTTTGGCTATTGCAGTTGCAATTCTTAGATCGTGGATTGTCATTATTATTTGTGGTATTTATTCGTCTTTAATAATTTGTATGTTATGAGGTAACATATTTTTATACTAATATGATGAATATTTACTGTTTGGAATAAATGCAATCGTGTGTAAATAAATGCCATAATTGATAAAACGTAATTTTTTTTCAATGTCATATTGTAAATCCAATATAATAATACTCAAGATGATATATTTGTTAAAAATTGTAGGAATTTTTCTCAGTTGGACCGTAATAACTGCGCATAATTTTTTCCATTTAAAAGACAACTTTCGTATGTATTATTTCGACTTGAGTACCATGTCATCGAAAGATTGGCGAATATCACACGGACTTAGCCACCATTTATATCCAAATACTGTATGGGATATGGAGATTTACAACTTTGAGCCATTTCTTATATATCTACCTTGTCATTATAAATCATTTTTATATAGATTAATGACAATTATCATGAGTCCCATTACATTTTTTGGAACTTTTATATTAACGGGAATTAAACGGTAAGTTGTATTAAAACGAATTACGATTTCGTGATAGTTTGATTTAATATATAAAACATATTCATATATATATATATATATATATATATATATATATATATAATATTTTTGTAATTATAAATATTAATAAGATCGTCTCATTTTAAATAAATATTGATTTTTATTTATCAAACCATTTAAAAATAATAAGCTTATCAATAAGTGAAAAATAATATTCTGTATAGTAATGAATATGTAAAGGAATGAATAATGGTAACTGTTTTACTGATATACAAGTATAGTTTATCGCTCGCAAGTTAGTAAAGTTTTTTTTTTTTTTTTTATATATAAGAAATAAATATAAGAAATGTCGTTATGAAAATTAAAAATATTAATTTTATTACAATTTATCAAAATTTTTTTCAAAAAAAAAAAAAAACTTTATTTTCGTAATATAAATATTTTATTTTAATAATCTTATTATTATGTTATTCGATCATACTTAATATATTGTGTTATGTAACATTTTTAAACATTAATCGTTTCTAGGAACTTGATAGAAAGACAGAAGCGTGTGCATATATAAAAAAAATAATTGGACGTTATTGTGTAGGTTAATACTGTTTGCAATTTTGTTAAATAAGGAAATGTATAAATTTTGAATTTTCTTTGTAAATTATTATTAGTACGTTAATACATTTAGTAATTTTATAAAAAATGAACTTTATTTTTACGTATTTAAATTGAGAATAGTCACTAATAGAAAGACTAATTAAAAATTTGAGTTGTCGACTAATTATTACTAATATTGAATTATATATATATATATATATATATATATATATATATATATATTAGAGATTCAATATTTATATTTGTGATTAGATATTTGGATAGATTAATTCCATTTATAAATATATTCGTATCTATTGTTCCATTTTATCAGTCATATATTTGTGCTTGTCTAATGATCGATATTTACGGTCAGTGAAAAATGTGTATTTGAATTGTTTGAAAGTATTTAGTGAAAGATAAAATTATTTTCAGCTTGCTAAATTAAATTCTTTATTTTCGAAAGAAAAGGAAAAAGACAAAATACTTTAGTAGACGTAATGAAAGCTACACGCACTTGACTGTAATCCAATTAATTTTGTTTTTCTACGACGCAGATACATTATAATAATAGTGTAGTAGTAGATTATATTTATATTTCTGTTTTTATCTTCAATCATCTAATTAATTTGTCTTTATTTTTAAAACAACGCAAATCAGTAATTATTACAAGCATTTCATATTAATATTATTCAATCAATTATTTTCAAAATTGCAATACAACATAAAACAGATCTTGATAAAGTAATATAATTTATAAAATATTCTTTAATTAATTATTTGATTGAATTTTATCTCCCAATTTGTTTTATCTTGCAATGTAAGGAAGCATTACATAATCAGTATATTTTTCATCGTTAATACAATATAAATTGTTATCTTACTGCTATATAGTGCAGTCATGCTTCCTGTCTCATAAAAATAAATAAAATATTTCATAACTTTCATTAATAAAATTAATTTCATTAGCATATATAAATTTTTTTTTTTTAAATACATGTCTATAAATTAAAATTAATACAATGATTAATTTACATATATTAATATTTATAATTTATATATTTTAGATATTATTCTGTATTTGTTCAGTGGAAAACTTTTGAGTTTCGAGATTGTGTTCCCTTCTTTATCCCAACATTAATGAGCTTTTTTACTCCATGTATTTGGGAAGCTGTAAAACTTTGGATCTTAATTTTATTAACAAGCAGTTTTATTTTTTCTTTTATCGGCGTGACAGCTGCACATCATCATCCAAAAATTTTCCATGATGGAGATATATGCAGGTAAAATTTAATCGAATTTTTTATTGTACAAACATCCGTTTTATCCTTATAATTATTTTTAATATTTAGTTGCCAATTAAATACAGATCTACATCATCTATATTTGGCAATATCATGTATTGTTTATTTTAAAAATTAATAGTAAAAATGCGCACTGTTACAGATTAAAAATAAATTGCATTTTTCTTGAAAGATTTTAAGTGTAATAATTTAGTTTCATAATTCAATTAGTATTGCTAAACTTTTCAATAAAGTGTAGGTTTCCTTGATATTTTTTATTATTATTAGTGTAGGATATTCATATTTTTTCTTTTCATTTTACTAGGAAATAAAGCTTTTCTATGATTTATATTTTCTAGCTGAAGAGCGGATAATATTATAATCGTAAAATATCTTTCTTGATGAAATTATATGAATTCATAATACTTAATATTTACTTTCTAGAGTACGTTTAAATAATAATAAAAAATTATAAATAATTCAATAATATCGACGATTAGTGTATAAAATTTGTAACGATATTATGTTAAAAAGATTAATTGTGACAAAGTACTTTCTTCTTGAGAAATAAAACTATGAAACATGCGGTCAGTTCTTTTCATGTATGTGTTGAACGGGACAGTAATTGTTGAAACTCAGACATTCGTTTCAATATTTTCCCAAATATTTAGCAGTATTTAATAACCATTTTAGAAAGGATCTCGACTGGGGTCTAATGGAGTTGGATGCTGTACGTAATCGTAAAGTTATCGACGATTCACTCTATCTTACTCTCACCAACTTTGGATCCCATGGACTTCATCATTTGTTGCCGTCGGTAGATCATGCGTATCTCGAGCTTTGTTTACCTATATTTTACGAAACTTGTAAAGAATTTGATATTGACACCGAGAAAATTAATTACTGGGAGTTAATCAGAGGCCAGTATCAGCAGCTGATGCGGCTTGACTCGAGATTCAATTCTTGCGATAAAATTAATAATAATATTGTATCACCGGAGAAGAAAGATAAAAAATGATAGTACAGCATGCATAATTTATAATTAGTAGTCATTGCTATTTTAATATTATCGATAAATAAATTCTTGTTAGTTTGAAGAGAAGATTCGATTGACTTCTTACCATACCTCACCCGTTCATGTTTTTGTAAATGTTCGAAAACCATATAATATACGTCTGTATATATTTTTTTCGATATGCATTACTTTTGTAGAAAGTATTGTAGAATCAGATTTATTATGATATTTTTTGTCAAAAGCACAATCATAATAATACAGTATATTTAAATGCAGTAAACTTTGAATTAAAAAAGAATGAAATAGTTTATTGAATTTTCTCAAATTTTTTCATTTATAAAATTTATATAAATGAATTAAATTGTTATCTATTAGGTTTGTTTTTTTATTTGTTTATAAAGCAATTTTTGGTAATATAAACACATTTTTATATAGAAACGTATATCTATTTATGTTTATCGCTAAAAATTCTTGATCGATTGATTTATTTTATATATTTAATTTGATAATCCTTATAAAAATGTTTATTCATTTAAAATATAAATTTATTATTACATTATAATTTTAATTTATAAGCTCAATTTTATGTATGAAATGAACCATAAATTACTCCATTTTCAATAATAAATCTTTTTAGAAATTAAAATTTATTCCAATAATTCATTATGCGAGAAAAATAAGATAAACTGTTATTAATTTAAATACTGCACATGTAAATATTGATATTTAATGAGGTTGTTTGGTCACTAACATCTTTCTTAAGCAAGGAATCAGAAGATTATTATACTTTAATAAATAAATTTCTTTTCACTTGTTTATAGAGTATTAATTTTGGGAATTAATATATGAATTAAAATTAATGAAATTGATTAATTAATTTTAACTTGAAAAAATATTGTAAATTAATTTTATTTAAAATTCATTTCTTGTCTCTATGTATTATAATAATCTAATAATTTTTTTGTGGCGTGCTGATTTTATATTATAACAACTTTAAAAATCCATATAATTACGATTCGTTGTACTTTGTTGAAAAAAGAGAGGGTTAATGTACCGATATATGATTATAAATGTTATAAATAAAATAAATTAGTTAATGACTTTAAATAACAAAAAGAAAAAATGTATCGAAATAGATTATATCTGCAAATTTTTTGGAAAAAATAAGCGAATACGGTTTTAATGAGTATTTAATTAATATTTTTAATGTATTTGAAGTTAAATTATTTTCATCGTGTAAATAATTGAAGAATGTTTTAATTATGTTTGAAAAAAATTTAAATATATTTTTAAATATCTTATGGTTACATTATAAATATAAGAAGAAGATAATTATTCATTTTTTAATCAATTTTGAAAATAATTATTGATTATATATATATATACATATATATATATACCTACACGCTTTTATATAAAGTTTTATATAAAATTTTTTTATATATATATATGTATATATGTATATATATATGTATGTATGTATATATATATGTATATATATAAAACTTTTATAATACATGAATAAATTAATAACTATTTAATGCTTTAAATTTAACATTTTCAATTTTTTTAATTGAGAATTTTATATAACATAAAAATTCTATAAATCAATGAAAATTTCTAATCGATTCTATGATAAAATCTTATAACTATTAATCTAATATTAAAAAATATTTGGTTTTAGAATTGTAGAATTTAATTATGAACAGAGAATAATTGAGAAGAAAGATTTAGCAACAAAATATTACAATAGACTTTTAAGGAAAGCGAAAATAATGATAATTATTCTGTTTAAGTTCTTAACTTTATTTATTGCTTATTTAATTTAATAAATACATATTTCGCTTTTCTTTATAAATTAAATTACTTTAAGGATAGGATAGCATTTAACGACACAGTTCTTCGAGATTGATAAGACAATATATTGCATGTGGTTTGTGAAAATGTGTGTATATATATATATATATATATATATATATATATATATTTCTCTGTTTGAATCAGGATGTGTATATGTATTTTTCATCTCTCTTTTATTGAAAAGACTTCGTTGTACAATTAAATAATGCTCATTGAAAAAAAATTTTTTTTTTCACAGACTAGCCTCACTCGTCCGCGCGCGCGTTACTTTTACATTTTTCCTTTCGTGTTAAACATGTATATTTTCTTCACTCTCAATATATTTTCTTGCTTCACTCCGTATATCTTCATTTTTGTTACATATATCCCTCTCTTCCTTAATCTTGCATCTATCGACCATCAGCGTGTCGACGAAAAACACTGCCGTATAATAATGTATATATATATATATATATATATATATATATATATATAAATATAATAATAAGAACATGTTTTTGTTGTTGAATAACGTCCCGCGCGTCTATCGTAGGCATTACCCCATTCCCTAAATATATTCTCTAGTTCTCTTCTAGTTCCATTATGCCTCCCGTCGTCAATGAGATATAATAATATAACATACGATACAATTCTCTTCATTTGTTTACAATGCTTTTAAAAACGAGCTCTCTAAAAAGAAAAATGAGGGAGCTCCGATGCTGAAATGTCTATGTCTCGCGATAATGATATACGTTTATCTTAATAATAAATGCGTGTTTATTGGCTTCGTATATTTTTTGTTCAGTTTATTTGCTTATTATATATAAATATATATATATATATATATATATATATATATATATATATCTATATATACTGGGCTTCTCTCGATGATGGTGATGTCTAGGCAAGTGTGTGATGATGATGCTCTTGCACTGACGCATACATTTTTTTTTTTTATTCTTACTGACGCTTACGCTTTTACGAGTTCGTGTCTTGTGACGCGTTGGCTCGTTACAGGTCACCGTCGGGCATAAGGTCGAAGCGTGGTGGGAATGCGGAACCATCGAACAGGGGTTTGTTGAGCGCTGGTCGGTGTGGCTGTAACAGTGAAATTGTCATCGTTAGTTCCGTCATTATTTACCTCGCCCAATCGTCATTTCCATTTACACTTTACAAAATTACTCAAACTGGCAAATTCTCCTCGATTGGCTCAGTTGAATTATTAATAATTTTACGCAAAAATGTTGTTATGGACTAAGAAAGCACTCTAAACAAGTTTTAGAGTTATTGGTTGGTGGAAGACATTGCTTTCAACATAATTGTTGTTTACGGTTTCATGAAAAACACGAGGGTGCAGTGCGTTTTACAGCTTTGCAATGAAACGAGAGATATTAATTTTTCACTAGATAAAAAAAAAGGAATTAAGTGAATGGTTGATGAAATAGAGAGTAAATATTTGGCATATAATTAATGAAGTCAAATGAGAGATGCGAAGAAGGACTGTTTAATTTTTTTTTTTTTTTTTTTGACGCAATGTAAATTATGTTCAAAATTTTTGCAAACTTGTATGGATGTGAGGATCGTATAAGACAATCGTTTCTTGGAATAAAATTCAAGTCGAGAAAGGAGATTTACAAATGCCATATATGCTAATGCTCTCTGATTTTTATTCAACAATGAGTCATCTCTTATAATTGAATGTAGATTTTAAATTGCAGATGCTAAGATATCTCCAAAGATGGATTATGATGTAGAAGAATAAATAATTTAGAATTTCCCGAGATGTAGTATAGTTGCAAAAAAAAAAAAAAAAAAAAAAAAAAAAAAAAA